GACTTGGGAGTTATGTACAAACTGGGCGATGGGAAGCCAGTCCACCCAATCGTCTTGCCGATGGTTGCAGAAAGCGCGAAGGTACTGTTCCAGTTCCTGGTTAAAGCGCTCCGTCTGGCCATCCGTCTGAGGGTGGTACGAGGTGCTGAGGGAGGATGTGACGCCAAGCTTGGTCAGGAGCGTGCGCGTGGTGTCGCTTGCAAACTGACTACCCCGGTCTGAGATGAGCTGTTCCATAAGACCTGTATGTGGGAAGACGTAGCGCATGAACAGGGATGCTGATCCCAAACTATCCACCGTCTTGGTTGTGGGCACGATGTAGACCATCTTGTATCCTCAGTCCATGTAGACAGCAATTGAGTCGTAGCCTTGACACTCTGGGAGATCGACGATGAAGTCCGTGGTCATAATCTGGAAGGGTCATGTAGGAACCTCATTGGGACGTAGGGAAATGTCCGGTGGGTTATTGCGGATCTTGATAGACTGACAAGTGGCACAGCCTCTGATGTATTCGCGGATGAAAGAGGACATACCCGGCCACCAGAAGTCCCTTGATACTAACTCAATCGTCCTAAACCGACCCGGGTGTCCAGCGGCTGGTGTGTCGTGGCAGAGACAAACAATCTCCCGATGGAGATCCTTGTCGTCCGGGATATACAGACATCCCTTATACGTGATGTGTTGAGATTCAGGTGCCGGAAGATAAGATGAGGATGAGGTAAGCGGTCGGTGTGTGATCGCGCTGTTCGTTGAGGAAGGCTTGCGTTAGGGCAAACCGATGCCCTACCGACTTCTTACATTCGTGCTTATATACTATTTACAATGTACCTACTAGAATGTACTACTATGTACTACAGTGCCGGACATGCAAATACGGCAAATTTATAAATAGCTTCCCACACCCAGGCACAATGCGCCAATCGCTTCCTCTTGTCGAGAGGGGTTTGCTACAATATTTACAGCCCTACTGAGTGACTGGTTGGCCCAGAAATCGGCTATCTTTCTTCAGAATACCTCAAAAATTTGTCTGCACCCTATATTTTGCTGATATAATCATAGTGAATATACCAATTGTCTCCATTTGACTAGCTTAATCTGATACTGCACTCGAGATGGCACCAAAGTGGGCTGATAAAGCTGAAAAATAATGGTACTCAGAAGCGTGTGAGAATCCGGAGCTGATCGGCCCAAGCTCGCGGGCTTTGCTCGAAACCTTTGAAACCCAGCCACACTTCCCAACCAGCGCGAACAGATGTTTACTCGTAGTACAATGTGTATGCATGGCCGCTGAGATGGGTTGGGCACCGGTCCGAGATGCCCGAAGTCTTGTTGAAGGCCAAAAATTTGTCTGCCCTCCTAAAAGTTGTGGGAAAATTATAAACAGGGTATATTTCAAATGCTCTCGTCATGCTGAGCACGAATCTGTCGTCGGTGGGCCGAAATTCAAACCTGGCGCAAACTTGTCGTGTTTGCGTGTCCGGCACTGTATTTCTTCGAGAATGAGGTGAGGCCAACGATGGCTTAGTAAGCTCGGTCCGCCGAATGCCGGCGAAGGCACTTGCACAGTCGAGCTGCCTCTCGGCCCGATTCACAACATGATGAGACCGTCCTTCTCTTCCCAACCCTCCAACTTCCGTTTGAGCGCCGCTGGACCTTCCTGCTCTATGACCTGCATAGCCTCCGCCACCTCTTTGTCCTTCGCCTCTGTCTCCAAAATGCGCTGCTTTACATCATCCAGGGACACAAGCTGTGTGGCGTTGCTGGCAAGATCGGCTGCTAGGAACAGGACCCTGTTGGAGTTTTCCTCACCAACGCCTTCGCGGTGGTCGGCACGTCGTGACAAGGGATCCGCATGGTTGAGGTGTCCAGGTCGATGGCGTAGAATGAAGTCGAAGCGCGTAAGGTACAAAGCCCATCTGGCCTGACAACGGTTCAACTTCTGCATCTTGGTGAAGTGCTCGAGGTTCTTGTGGTCCATGTAGATCTCGACCTGGTGTGGAGATCCTTCAAGGTGGTGACGCCAATCCTTGAGGGCGCGGACATATGTTCGGCTTGGTATGTTTGTATGTGCTGTACATATGTACATATACTGTAGTTTTTTGACCGTAAGTTTGGGCCGAAAACATGTGACACGTGACCTACTGATAGGTTTGCCAGTGATAGGTTCGCGAGGTGTGAGTGACGCATGACCGCGAACCTATACGGCGCCAATCGCCCTCTGCGCCAGGTTGTCCGAGGCAACAGATGTGGTCTGCGGGCCAATGCATACCGAAAGAAGGCCTCCGTGTATGCCCAGGACTTTTTGCAAGTGATCTCGGACATTTTCAGCACCCACCCGACTCAGATATAGGCACTACCAAAAGGGGATGTCACGCAAAATAGATTTGTACGACCCACCAGATGCATGACAAAGTGGCCCGGAAGTTTGTTGGCCACGTCCAGCATGATGCATGACAAACTTATAGTCAAAAAAGTACAGTAGTCTCGGAAACTCCGAACTGGTGATGAATCATGTTTACAATAAGAATCATGCGGGTTTTGATGACCTCGAGCTGTGCATGTTCGTGTGACATACTGTACTTTTTCGACCCAAAGTTCGTCACACATCACGCCGAGGCTGGCCTGCGAACTTCCGGTCTATACTGTTATGCACCAAGGAGGTGCTGCAAACCTAATTAGCATGACATAGGCTCTATGAGTGGAAAAATGTTATTATAGATGACAGATATGGACTACAAACAACACAGATGATAAAGGAACAATACAACAAAGCTAGTGCATGCCATAGTCGCGGACATAACGAGAGTTAGCAATTTTGTGCCGTTTGCCTCGCCCAGTCTCCTCCACAGGCATGTCGGGAGTTGTTTCAGGCATGGCAACATTAACCGGCTCTAACTTGTCTGCAGCACCAATGGTGCAAGGTTAACCAGCAGGCTGGGGAGCAGCTAGGATGGTCGCCATGAGGTCAGCAGGCTCGAGAGCAGTGTCATCATCAAACTCCGCATCCTCATCGTATGCAGGAACTGCATCAGCTTCTGACTCAGAGTCGGCAGCAAGATCATCAAATTCAAAAGGGCATGCCTCCTCAAGATCGGACTCAGACGAGGCCAGATCGTCCTCGTCATCAATGATCATCTCGCCAGCTCCGCGGGCGTGCTTATCTGCTACCTGCGCATATAGCTCTGGGTCAGTACATGGGAGTTCACGGAGGAACTTGAGGGCTGCGGAGCTGGTGATAGACTCGAACGAAAGATTGAAAGGTGTATCCGGGACAGTGCACTTCTCGAACGCCTACGATCGGTTATAAGCCAAAAGAAAAGACGACAAATGGGAGAAGGGAAAGCATACCTTCTTAACTAGTGACGGAACACTGATATCCTGCCACACCTTGAGGAACCAGCCAACAGAGCAGTCACGGAGTGTTCCAATCATATGATCAAGGTGGATATCATCGGGGTCGACTTGGTTGGCGAGTTGCCGAAGAGTCTCATCATAGATGTCCTGAAGCTGAGAGCGCTTTATTGCGAGCTTGTAGGGGCACTGGATTCTGACATCGCAGGGCTGTGCAAGCCCGGTCATGCCTGCAGGGACGAATCGGAGTCGTAGCTTTGACCATGGCTTGTGTCATAGCCTTGAGTGTGGTCATATAAGGGACTGACATGAGGACCGGGCCTCTGGAGGGATAGACACTGTATAGATGCACATTAGGTTTGTAGGGTTGGCCAGCAAGTCACAAGAGTAATGTACTAGAAGCCCTTTCCAGTCTTCATTTTGACAATCATACTGACACTGCAGTATTCAAGTGTGCCACTCGCGACATCCTTGGTTCTAAGGACCTCAAGTCAAAAAATGCACTTCGTGTGCTCTAAGCCGACAACCAACTTGAAGTTGTCCTTGCGCTTAGCAACACTATTTGCTCGCACCAGCAGTGAGTGAAGACCACCACAATACAAGGGCATACTACTCACAATACCGTCCATATCTTATCACCAGAGATAGCATAGAGATGGGTACAAAGAACACACTTCCTCATTTCCAGTGCTGGGAGGAAGAGCGTGATGAAGTTGTCCTTTTTGATGCATGACTTGGATGGTATGATGACTGAGTTGACAATTCAGCTCTCGAGATCACCAGAATAAGGAAATCAGCTGTACACTTTGCATCAGCTTTAGACCGGAGAACTGCCAGTAGCGGGTTTTGGGTCCAGGCAGTTGTTCCGGTGAGTTGGGCGATGGTTGTCAATTTACTAAGTAGATTTAGCCACGGAAATTTACCGCCCAATGCGGTGAATTTTACCAGGGTCTGAGACCCGGTTAATTTTTCGCACGGGGGTTGGGGGGTGCGAGGCCGCAGGCCGAGCACCCCCCAACCCAAGGCTCGCTCCGCTCGCTCGACTTCGTTGGGGAAGATACTCTCGAAATCGTCCCCCGGGCATACCCTAATTTTTTGGGAAGTGACCCTGGCGACAGTCGACTTGCAGGACTCATCGACGCTCACAGCAGCCAGCCCGCGCGATTGCAGGTGGGTCACGTGCGACCGGTAAAATGTCTCGGAATGTCTCAGAATATCGGTAAAGTTTTTACACTAAGTAAACCGTGGCTATAGCCAGTACAGGCCTGTTACCTGAGCTAGACTAGCCAGGTGGGGCTTATCACCCTCAGCTAACAAATCTCAATAAATTCAATAA